TACGTAGCTACAATGACCGCGAGTTAAATCAGCTGGCAAAAATCGCAAAAAAAATCGACTATAAGTGGGATGACTCAGATTAAATGAAATGCGAAAATAAACGGCTGTGCTACGAAAAAATCAATCGATCGATAATTAGTTTATCAGCAAAACACATAAAAAATAATAATCATTACGCAGCAAAATATAAATAGTTACTCGATGAATATTAAGATCTTCCTTTTCATTTATGACTCACCATACGACGATCTGTAAACATCTGGACCGGCTGCATTGTCTGTGTCGTGAGAGGCCTTAACAATTGTCTCGAACAATTGTCCATACACACACACGTGCACGAATTCACTCACGATCGCGAAAGCTATAAGAATAAAAAAGAATAAACAGTACCGTCATTAGACCTTGACAATGTTAAACTATACATGTAACTTGTGTCGGCGGACAAAGTACAACGTTCATGATTTTTACATTGCGCGCACATCGCCGCCTACGCATGGCTCGACAATCAGATGGCGGCCAGGTGAATACAAAATGCTTGCGTGTTTACTCATATTATTTAAAGATGCAATCATTTCTAAACATTAATTCACAGCAAACTGTAACCCGATAATTTTTTAATTTTTACATTATCTAAAAATCTGAGTACTTTTAATATTAATTTCAATATTAATTTTAATTCTTATTTATCCTCTTTTTTCTCTTCCTTTCTCTTGAAATCGATGTCTTTAATAAATGACAGACAAATAAAAATTAATATTTTTCGTATAAAAAAATTGTACGCTAAAGTTTTTGGAGTATTCTTTAACACAAGAACGTGCGTAATCTGAATACGAATTAATTCAAATTAGCTGTGTTTAACATTTCGCTGTTATGAATCTTTCAATATTTTTTCTGTGACGCGAATGGAATAATGTCGAATTTATAACAATTATGGCATAATCTAAATATTTCATAAAATTAGTTTAATAATTTTTTGTTATTATTCATTATTCAATATTTTTTTATGACAAAGATAGAATATAGTGTCTTCAACATATAGTTGTTAAAATATTTGTTAAAATCAGCTTAAGATATTATCTAATAATAATATTATCTTTCAATATTTTTTTCGATTGTAAGAATGAAATATCTTCGATCTAATAATATTAATAATATTATTCACTTTCCAATATTTTTCTATAATAGCAAGAATGGAATAGTGTCTTCAATATAGAATGGAATAACGCTCTCAAAACAGAATTTAGAAAAGTAGTCCATGAAATGAGAACGTAAATACTTCGCTCAAAATAATCTAGATGAGCATTGCAGACGTTCGTTTCTGTATTTCTGATCTTCTGTAATACAGATTTGCGCTATTTTTAATTGTACTGAGACAGACGCAAACGAGGTGACTATTGCGACGCGTTCGCTTTGTGTTTCCTTCAAGTAAGCCGCCATGCAGTCTGCTATGTCATTCATATCGGATCTGCGCGAAAAGAAAACGTGGCATCCTCGCATTTACAGTGACAGAAAGAAGTGTCGTGGAAAGAAATCATGTGATATCCATATGCTGCCTCATGTATTTTCTAAATATATAATTCGACTTACGTGACTTCAAAATTAAAGTCCAACGATCAGCGTTTCACGTAACGATCTAAGACTGATCAAATTACACACTACGTTGTTTTTGATCAGACAAAGATGACAGACATTGCGTAATGAAAAAATCATGTTTATCAGTGAATAACTCAATATGGCTGTCTTCGTTTTGATTAATAAAGATGAGAGATAAGGTCTGTTTTTTTTTTCAGTTAAACTTCTTTATTGACGTACAGATTCATCTTTCCTCTTTTTCTCTCCATGTTGGAGGAAAAAGAGAAAAGATGACCGATTAAAGATAAAAAATATTAGAAAAAATTAGAAACTTTTTTTTAGTAAAAAAACTCAGTAAATACCAATTTTTATCTGAAAGTTTTTTAACCGAATATTTCAATTTTTTGCGCATTTGACGACATATTATTGTTCCATTTTTTGCGTTTATCCAGAAGATAACTGTAAATAATCCAAATGTAGTACAAATTAAATATAAAAAACCTATTTTTTCCCTACGAATAGTAAAAGAAGTTTAATTAAAAAAAACAAGCCTCGATCATGTTTTCCAGAATAATTTCGTCGGCGGCCTCAATTAGCCAGTTCCATTTTTCCATTATTTAATGCAATGAAGCTCCAAAATTTCGAACAAACAATATAAAATATGTATTACATACTTTTTTTTTATAAATCTTTTATATGATTTTGAAACTTTTATACGATCCTCTCTTTCAGTCAGAGATCGAAAAGAATAATTAACAATCGTGCTTAATATAAAGCTTTGTGTTCACAATACTACACAAAAAGGTTGATTTGACTGAAATATCTAAAAATCCAGCTATAGATACGGATTTAAAAGTATTATAATGTTGTCGGACCATCAAGATATTTATGTAGGACACTCAAACTGCAGATTTCTAAAAACCAAAACTTTTTGCAGCATATATTTCTGCTAATTACAATATTTTGACGACCCAACAAAATTATTTTCAAATAAGAATCTAGCTAAATTTTAAGATACTACAAATAATTCTTTCCTTGTAGAAATCGTTTCGAGATCTCGGAACAATTTCTAGCATCGTGGACACAAGGCTTAATATCGAAGATAATATTCGGTTGTTTAAAAAAGGCTTTCGCGTGTCCTTAATAACTTATTCGAACGAGAGCGACTCATTATAAGCATGACTAAAATATCTCACGATTACATCGATCGTCGCTACTTCCGCTCGATTATTTCTTGACTTCTGTCCGATGAAATTGCCCTCGTCGGGCACGACCGAAATAACTTATGATCTTACCTAATGGCCATTAATGGCGCAAGCTGCCCGGTTCGAGCGTTAGGTTTTTCTGAACCTCGCCTTGCCGTTACCGGGTTTCACTGAATACGTACGTCATCGGTCTTCGTCATTTCGCCCGATGTTTCTATGCGAAAACAAACAATTAACGAGATTTCGCAGCCGCGGGGCAAACGTTCGGTTGAATCATCCGATCCGGTGAAACGAATGGCAGTAATGGCACAGTATCGCGAAAGTCGTTGACGATTGGCTCGTTTAAATTGATCGAATGTGAAATTCGTTGATTTCTCATATGACCGAAGTTGCCGTTTTAAGTCGCCGCGCGGCAACTTCGCGCTATTCGAGCCCTATACGGCGTTTACAATAAAATAAGGGCGCGTTCACACCTTGATGGAAAAGTAAAAAACGAAAAAGCAGTGGCCAATTAGAACTCGCGCTGGTAATAAGTAGTACAAAAAGTCGAAATTGTAGACTACCAGCTAAAGTTCTGATTGGCTGCTGTTTTTCCGCTTTCCGCTTTTCCGTCAAGGTGTAAACGCGCCCTAAGCCCTAAGCTGTAAGAAATCAATCAATCATAATTAATGCGAGGAGAATTATGGTTAGTTAACTTAATTCTTATAGCTTAAGAATTATTTATTATTGCTTTATTGTAGACACTGCGTAACAGACATTTAATGCTGAAACATATGTAATGACTAATTACTTATTTTGAATTGTTCAGTGCTTTTAATATTCAAAGGAAGTAATTAATCACTACTTTTCAGTATTAATTCTCTGGAGCTGATAACAAAATCTGTTTTTGACGTTGGATCTGTAAGACCCATTTAATTTATGTTATTTATATTAATTAAAAGCACTAATTAATTTCAAAAAACCAAAATGACATAATTCATATACAAACGTATAAAAAAGAATTAATACTATGGTTGATATTCATATAATATTTTTGACTGTCTTAAGTGACATTTTAACATGCTAATACAGTTTTGTGATTGGCATTTTAAGTAGTCTTAAGAACTGATTATGAATGCCGTCCTAAGATTGGTATTCATAGATCGGTATTCATAGTTGGAGCTTATATTTAAGACCGTCTTAAGAACAGTCTTAAGATGTCATGAACCAATCAGAGGACTGTATTAGCATCTCAAGTCTTACTTAAGACGGTCTTAAAATAAGAATCGATTATGAATACCACCTTCAGTCAGTTTTATATTTAAGAGCATCTTAAGATATCAATTGAGACGGCCTTAAAATAAGAACGGACTATAAATAAGAATTATCTAAATTGCAAACATAAACGTAACATAAAGAAAATTGTATTATTTAACAATTTTGAAAAGAGATTTATAATTGAATGATTCCAACAATAAACGTCAGATTAAGAAAGTTAAATTGGCCGGTATTAAATTGGATTTCTGTAAGGGAATTGTGATAGATGACTTTTTTCCGAGACCGTGGCTAATTTCTTACAAGATTAAAATCCAAATCCCTGCAAAATCTCGCTACGCGAATTCAGCCGCTTTTGTTCCGAGCAATTTTTTTTTGGTGCAAGATCAAGAATCGATCGCCGACAGGCGGAGATAATCTCGAGGTAGCATGAAGGAACGAAAAACACATCTCGATTCGACATACTCGAGATACGTCGAGGAAATCGCCTCGTCGATGGCGGACACCAGGCCGCTCGTCGCGGTCGTCGAGACGAGAAACAATCGATGCCGTGCACACGCACACGGGCAAGCGCACAGGTGGGCATAATGTAACGTTTCTTTGTTCCAGGCGATCCTCGCGTCACTCGCGTGCCGTGCGTGCGCTGGGCGCGTTCGAAACGCGCGTCCCCGCCGCTCTGATTCGTCCGGCTGGGCCACGTGACCGCGCGCAACGTCAGTTCGGACTACCGTCTGCTCGCGGTGTCACTGGTGTCAGGTCTCTACACTTGTCAACGCACATTCGACGAGGGAACAAAGGATCTCAGCGGAGAGAAAGACTGTCCTCCGCTCTTCGAGCTGCCTAGTTCGTTGGCGCCGCGTCCAGCCGTCTTTTCTCGTCTCGTGTCGAGAGTTTGCCAGGATTGTCTCCGCTTGTACTCCCGTCACGTCACGGTATCCTGGACGCGGTCGATCAGGATTCGCGCACAACGTCACGGTACCGAGGAGTGCGTTCGTGATACAGCGAGACAGGTGTTCTTGACAGCTCGCCGTCGCCGTGACGGCGTCGTCGGCGACTCGCGAAACGCGAGTTCAGTGACGGTGTCATCGAGTACGCAGGGATCGGACGAGGAATCGTCACGACTCCGAATAGATTCGTCGAGCGATAATAATTCTGCGATCTCCTCTTCGCGACTCTTCGCATCTCTAGTTCTTTCTCTCTCGCACGCGGGAGACCTTCGGACTGAAGACTGCCGCGAATACCTACGTTTCCCTTTCATCGCGCCGCGAATTTCGAACAACACTTTGGCTAGATTCGTGTCTCTCCCTTTCCCGTTCCACCCCCTCATCCATCGTCGGTCGTATTCCGCGGCCTGTGCTGCGCGAGCTTAGGACATGTACAGCATGAACTATATCGCCAAGATCATCAGCAATTTCCGCCTCTTCTACAACGAGATCAACGCCGCGACGCTCACTGGCGCGATCGATGTCATCGTCATCGAGCAACCGGACGGCTCCTTCACGTGCTCGCCCTTCCATGTCCGCTTCGGCAAACTCGGCGTACTCCGTTCCAGAGCGAAAGTGGTAAGTCCTCGTATTTGCGTCTATTATCGACAATTTATCTCTGCATAAATGAGTGCGATAATAAATGATCAGAGGCTGACCTTCGTTGCGTCGTTTGAAAAGAATTATTTTATCAATCAGTTATATTGTATCAATTTTTGAGATAATTATTGAATTATTTGACTATAATGCTTATTGCAATATTATTTCTCATAATGGAATTTTTTTTAAATATAATTTGCTGCATGTAATCTGTTGTTAAAAAATAATTTTTTTATTTTTATTTTAAAATATTTTTATCACTTGTGTTTTTAAGACTGGGCTTTTCTAAAGAAAATATCTTACGTATTTCGTTCTTGAAAAAAATATTTTAATTTTTATTTTATTATTATAAAATAAGAAATAGATATATTAAAAAATTACATTTTTTATATGTAATTATTTTACATGCGCCGTTTAAAAAGAATTATTGTATCAATTTTTTAGGTAATTATTAAATATTTTTTAATAGATTGCTTTTTTAAAGAAAATCTTACATATTTTGCTCTTGAAAAAAATATTTTAATTTTTTTTACATTAAAATAAGAAATGAATATTGTATTAAAAAAGTTATATTTTTTATATTTATAAAGATATATATGATTCGAGGGATTGCAGCCTACTACGTATTGTACTAGAAATGTTTTCACAGGTGGACATTGAGATAAATGGAGAACCCAGGGAAATTCATATGAAACTTGGAGATTCTGGCGAAGCATTCTTTGTAGAAGAAGTTAGCTCAAATGGGTCTCCGACGGACACCGAAATCCCACCGCATTTGGCCTGTTCGCCCATACCCGACAATTGTTTCCCACCGCCGAAATTTAATTTGTTGTCAGATTTGCCTCAGGAGCAGAGAGAGAAGATTCTCATAGACTCAGTTCTATCCATAGAACGAGAGAAATGGGAGCAGATGTCCGCCTTGCCACCTGATCAACGGGAGAAGTTTCTGATTGAACAATTCTCAGATCTTCCCGCGGAACATCGTGAGAAATGGCTTCAGATTGCTTCATTGACTGTAGAAGAACGAGACGAAATGTTCAAGGAAAGCTTCGGCACCATATCTCCAGAGCAGAAGCAGCAGATGATCAGGGAACAGTATTCCGCTTTGAAGACAGAGGACAAAGAGAGATTGTTCAAGGAGAATTTTCCAGAGCTTTCGATCGAGCAAAGACAAAATTTCGAAAAAGCTTTATTGAGTGACTGGAAGGAAAAAGAGGAAAAATGGGAGGAGAAACACGACAAGAATGATGACGAGGAGATATTTGATATGGATGCTATCAGTGATGAGCAGCCGAAATCAATGATTTCTTGTCCGAAATCTTTCGTGGCTGTTACTTCCTCCGAGAGAATTCGTAAAATAAGCGTGGTGAAAAATGATTTTAGGCCGATTACAGATGATCCTCAAAGCATTAATAAGGAAAAATCTAGTGACGAATCAAACTCTTCCACGGGCAAGAAGAATTTGAAGGAAGAGAATGTTGATGAGAATAAGAGTAACAATTCGACTAAGAGGAAACGTAAGAGGAAGAGTATTATGAAGAAGAAAGGCTCGCAGAGGAAAACAAGCAATGGCAATATCAGTCAGACAGAATTGAGTGAGGCTGATGCAGTTTTTACCGAGGAGTCAATTAGCGAAACGGTAAGATATTATTTCAATGAGCATTGTATTTCTTACTGTTATATTTTAGCACGCTTATTGATTGAAGATATTTAAGGGCCCCCCTCCAATGGCAGAGGAGGAAAAGAATACCGTTGCGGAATCAGCGACATCCTCCCAGGACGTAATTGAGAAACGACCTGAAACCGATTTCCACTTCTTTAGTGACTCAGAAGTTACTAAGTAATTTATATTTCTTAATTTATTTATTTCTTAATTATTAATACATTAATATATGTGTATTATATTAGTATATGTATGTATATTATATTAATATATGTATATTAAATGTATTTATTAATGTACTGTAATATGTTCAAAAGAAATAAGGACTCCAGACCATGTTCGCCTGTTCAATCGGATACAGAATTTGAAGTACGTAAAATTACTCAAGAGGGGAGCGAGAGAGAAGATGACAAGGGTCATCAGCAGAGTTGGAGATGGGGTGAATTGCCCAGTCCACCTCCGGAGCCGGCGCACATGTCGCATAGGAATTCGTTGAATTCTTTGGCAACTGCTAGTCAGCCAAATAGTTAGTATATGATTTCATGATTTCTGTTTACAGTCAACATGTCAAACTACATATATACTGTTCATGATTAACATCTCATTGTACGGTTCTAAATGGAAAACGCTACTATTATCGATCGTTCATGTTTCGAGAAACTAATATGCCTGAGTCTGATACATGAAATTATAACAAGTCAGTGTTGTAAATTCTCAATCTTTTTTTTTCCACAAAAAGAAACTAACTCGAATGCTTCATCACTAACTGTTCGCTAACATTCGCTTTTTTAATGGCACAGAAGATGCACAACGATCTATGCTCAGTGGCATGTTCTCCTTTATGAAGAAGACTTCTCGCGTAAGACATAATCCGGAATCGGAAGGAATTTATCTTAGCGATCTTAATGCCGACGAACTGGACCCCGAAGTTGCGGCTTTGTACTTTCCCTCCTCACATCGAGGCCCGACAATGGTTAAAGGTATATGGTAAACTAGCTTTTGCTTTTGCATGTTAAATGCATGGTGCATCGAAACTAACATGTCAGTTAATAAATACATCTGTTCTGATTTTCATATCATAGTCATTAAATAAAATGCATTTTTTAATTTTTTTTAAATTCTTATTTTTTAGAAATAAAGTATCCTTGAAGTATTTAACATAAATATTTTCAATAATTTATAAGACTGTCTTTGCTTTTTGGGAAAGAAAATAAAAGAATTTATTTTTAACTTTTTAGTATAATAAATAAGGATGAATAACTAATAAAGTTGTATGCTGTGTTAACTTTCATTGTTTTACTTACTTAAATTGGATTGTGTTTTATTTTGTGATATTGTTTTTCTACATTTTGCGTAAGAAAATATAACGTATGTTTTATTATGTTAGATGGAAAAACGGTGGATGAAGAAGATACAGAATCGGGTAACGGACCGAGTTTACCTCAGAGCCCTAACAGTGTTGAAGGAGCTATCGGTGGACCAAAGTCTTTGGATAGCGACTTCGAGGAACCAAAGCATTCTATATTCGATAATAGCATAGAAATAAGTTTATCTCTATGCGGTGGTTTGGACAGTGAGAATGGACCGTCCAAGGAAGCTTTTAACGAAAACTTACTGCACTTTGAGGACGTTTGTACCGATCCAAAATTATACGAGAATCCGAATTTGGTCGTGAAAATCAATGGGAAATTCTACAATTGGACTACAGCTTGTCGGATAGTATTGACCTATGTTGTTTTCCAAAGACATTTACCGCAAAGCGTAATCGAAAATCTGTACATGTTGCCGGTGCATGAAGATAAGAAGCGACAGAGCAGCGATAAGTCCGAAAGTCGTAGTGGATACAGTTCATGGTTCTCTTGGAGGCGTTCCACGCAACCTTCTAAAAAACCGCAGGATACTAGTCAAAGTAAGATTTCTCAAACTTTTGATTTTAATAAAAACTTCTTATCTTACAAATAGTTATACTTATTTTGATAAAATATGACTTCTCTTTATTTATTACAGACGACGAAATTGCTGTGCAAACACCTGATCAATCTGTAGAAGTTAAGACTGTGACAAACGATGAATTACCTTCGGCTAACAGGTAAATCAAAGCTCTCGAACTTCTTTTTTTATATTTGATTTTTTACATTTTTTAATTCTATTACATTTTTTCCAGGGAAATAAAGACTGAGCAAAACACAGATTCGTCAAGCTCAACGGAGATAATGGAAATAATATCTTGTACAAGATTGCCAACTGCATCGAATGAAACTACACTTACAGAGACTGAGAAAACGCGTGAGGGAGAAGGCGAAGGATACAGCGGCGGTGAGGATTCTGACAGTAACCACAACGAACCAGCAGGTGTTAAGATACCTGTGGAAAGAAGACCGTACTACGAGTCCACGGAAAAGTATCGTAAAACTCTGCGACTGTCGTCCGAACAGATAGTAAGTATTTTCACGTATTTCTCATAATTGCATAAAGTATGAAAAATGATTGAGTTTTAATTTCTTTACAGGCGAGTCTTGATCTGAAGGACGGCGCTAACGAAGTAGTCTTTAGCGTAACCACCGCTTACCAGGGTACGAAACGTTGCAAATGCCATATCTACAAGTGGAAGTGGGACGATAAAATCGTTATTTCTGATATCGATGGCACCATTACGAAATCCGATGTGCTGGGTCACATCCTACCAATAGTAGGCAAGGACTGGGCTCAATCCGGGGTCGCTCAACTATTTACGAAGATAAAAAATAACGGTTACAAACTATTATACCTCTCAGCGAGAGCAATCGGCCAGGCTGGTGGAACTCGGGAATATCTGAGGAACTTGAGACAAGGGGATCTGACCCTGCCAGAAGGCCCGTTACTTTTGAATCCTACGAGTTTGATCCTAGCATTTCATCGCGAGGTGATAGAGAAGAAACCGGAAGAATTCAAGATATCCTGTTTGAAAGATATTCAGGCATTATTCCCTGAAGGATCTGAGCCATTTTACGCTGGATATGGAAATCGCATAAATGTATGAATAATAAATTCTATTTATCGATTAATTAACTTGAAATGAGTGATAAACTTTTTGTGAAAAATGTATTAGTAAATGTACTATGTAGAAAATATTTTATACGTATAGGACGTGTGGGCGTATCGAGCAGTAGGCATTCCTATAATGCGGATCTTTACCATAAACCATCGAGGAGAATTGAAGCACGAATTGACACAGACATTCCAATCTTCGTAAGTATTATGTCATATTGTGTCGTTTATTAAACTAATATTTCTTTTCTGTGGAGGAATATATACTAGCAGGATAAAAATATATGTCTATTTGATTTTTGTTGTACATGATAATAACTAACTTAATTGCTATTTTATCTTTTTACACTTTTAACGCATATGACGTCTTCTTGTGTTTTACAGCATTTCTTCTTAATTACGCGGTTCTTTAAATGCTATACTTTATATTAAGCCTACGGCACGCGATACATTTTTTCTTGTTGGATTGCTTGTGTTTTAGTAAATTATTAGAACTGCACTACATAAAACGTAGAATTTCTAATAACTTCTAGTAATTCACCAAAACGCAAGCAATTCAACAGGAAAAAAATGTCGTGTGCCGTAAATTTTAGTCTCGAGTAATGTAAGTGTACTAATCTTAGAACAGTCGTATTATTTCCAGATGGGATATGCAATTAATAGCAGCTAATTACAATTTGTATGGCTATATAGCATTTATTATTGCCTGTCTTAATTTTTGTGTTTAATACTTACTAATTTTTATGTTTAATACTTACTGATGGCTTTTATGCTCAAAATGATTTCTTTTAAATATACTAATGATTTAAAATTGTTAATAAACGGGATGCCGCCTTTCCTACTAAACTGTGAAAGGATTTGAGCGTCAAAAATGAAGTTATTGGTTGAAAAAAAATAGGAATACGAATTTTCAAAGGGTGTTGATAGGTCGGATATTTCTGTGATTACAGTTATGCGCGTCAGTGCAATATCGTCAATGACGTGTTCCCGCCACAACCTATGCCAAACGTCTATTGATAATCTACTGATAGCAAACGTCTATTGAAAATCTACTGATAGCACAACCACAAATTTTAATAAATTATTGATTAAATTAATTATATTGAAGTATTATATATTAATGTGCCAATGGCATATCCAGCATCAATGCAGTGTTGAATTTGGGATATTGTCATACATAATTGCGCTACATTTTGTGATAATTGACATAGTACAAAATTAAAACACATTTTATATATGCTGTGAGAACACTGAGAACACACGAGTAATATAACAAACACTCAGGGAAACTCGTTTCTAATTATAAATATTTAAATTGCATATGTTAAATGTAACCACAATTCGATATGCTTATATTGTGGAACATATTTGGTTGTGCGCGACAACTCCTATCTTCTTATGATTTATAGGGTAAGCACTTGTTTTGTACACATTTGCTTTTTTATCATCGCTTGATACGCTTTTATTTCTAGTCATCCTAACATCTCGTCATTGGGGATATTTTGGTACATTTTCCACTTGTTTCGGGCAGTAATGAGGAAGGGATAATATTAATATAATTTTTGTCACTCATAACTGTTTTCAGACATTGTTGTGAATGTATAAGTAAAGGAAATGTTCATCGCGCCTGTCAACTTAATTTTATTTTTTATTTGCTTATCGCTCATAATTTTTCAACCAAGCACTTCACGATCGCTCTCGCATAAACTGATTCTGCCATTCAAACATTAATAATATTAATGATTCTTATAAAATAGTTATAACTTGTAAACTGTATGTAAATACGCTCTCATTATTTATATCGATTTTTTTTTACAATTGATCATAATTTGTAACATTACGATTTTCATGTCCGTGTGGTTTTTCTACTCACAATTTATTATATATTTATTATATGTTTCTCATCAATCTAATCTGGATTTCTTGCAGTGTTGTATGAACTTTATGTGCTAATCCAACTTATCTAATGTATGTGTGTATACATATACACACATATTGCTACAAATTATTTTTTATATTAACAGAATATGTTAAAAAGATTGAGATTGATAAAATTCAATATATTTCTTTACTTCACATATGAATTCATTTTATATAAACGAGTTATAATAGATGGCAATTAAACATTCATTTTTCAGCCATACTGACGGCACAAGGATACGAACTTGTTTTGATGCGTGCTTTGCAATTTTTGTTTATTCTCTGATTACAGATATTCGAACATGAGCTTTATCGTCGACCAAGTATTTCCAGCACGGCGAGAAGACGCAACCGATGAATTTAGTAATTTTGCGTACTGGCGAGATCCGATACCGGAAGTACCGAAACTCGAGGAGCTTTACACTCAAGCTCTAATTACCTAAGAAACTGTCTTTGTTCTATAACCGTCATTTGCTTGGACTACGAACGATGATTATCATATTTAACTAACTTTTATACTCTGTGCGTTGATCGTAGTGACTTTGACTGGTGTGATTGTCTAATATAATACATCAGGAAAAGTTAATGTGAGCATTTAACGCTTTTTTCATATTGGATTTGTTATTTAGATATTAAATAATTTGTGGAAAGATCCAGAAGAGAGATCGCTTATATATGTATAAATATATATAATATATATGCATATAATATATATTATATAGAAAATTCTAATATTTAATTTTTATATATACATGTACACGTTTGTATCATTTATATATAAAAATAGGTTAATGAGACCAAATTTTATTACATATATATGATCTCTCTTCCAACAGTAAATTTTATCGAGATACACGCCAAAACATTCCAGCTTCGTTATATTAAAATAACGAAAGTTCTTTGCGTTAAATGATACCAGATACATTCTACAGTCTCAATCGAGTTTAATCACACTAGCCAATGTTCACAACATGCCTAGAAATTAGATACACTACAGCTGCGTGCTTTACGGTGTAATGGACTGCGAGTCATATTGTATCACGCACTTCAGGAGTCTGCAATCTGTTCTAAATGACATTTTTTTGTTAGGATGGGTGTAGAATATACTCTTTGGGAATTGTTAATTAAAAGTTTCTTAATCTTTGTCACCTAGCGTGAATCGTTTATGTATTGGTGGCTCCTGCTAGAAAACCTCGCTTGTTGCTGCACATGTGCAAGTTTTATACGAGCATATAATTGTCCGCGTATGTCGTCAATTTTCTACATTGAAATGCGTTGGGATTTCTCTTAGTAATCGATAGTAAGATATTCTTTTAGGATGTAAGAGTAGACGCATTAGCAGGCGGATAATTAAATGTTTACCGCTTACGTTCCCTATTTTTAGATAGTTATAATTTCAGAGAGCTATAATTTATTTTTGTATAAGATCTCGATTAAGTTAGCGTGCTGTGAAATTGCCATATCCTCAAAATGATATTATCATTTACATTGTGATATTCTGATCAAAGTAGGGATTATGAAATAGATAACGTGTATAAACGTGGATTTCTTTTGAAAATTTACGTTAAAATAGTCATATATAAAGTACGAATCTATTCTATATTCCGTAATTTGTACATGATCTAATTTTTATTTAATTCTCTTCTCAATCATGGTTGTCTTTTAATCAAATACATTCTACCAGCTTTTGCTCTTTCATATGTTACCTAAAATATTTTTAACGTATAGATTAAGTTATCATTGTTTTAGTTCGGTTAACATCATGTAAAAATAATGTTGACGGATTCACTCCTTGTCCTTCTTGAGTCATACAATTGAAGTAACAAAAGTACAACTGTATCCAACCAAAGAGGATAGAGTTATATTCACAATAGATTATATCTTTTATTACGCGATAATGCATTCATTATAGGACAGTGAGACAGGAAAATTGCAGAACAAAGCACGAATAATTTAAAAAATATTTTGATTTAGACAAATGTAATGGCATAGAATGACAGAGGAATTTATGACAAAAAGTAATACTGTATATATTTTGTATTATTGATTTAGAACAGACTTTAAATTAACTTATATGATGTAATATGTAATGTTACACTGTAAATTTATAATTGTTTAATATTATTTTGTAGTATTTATCTATTTTGTTAAAAGCATTCTTGGTACAAATATATTTAGATAAAGTTTGTTTATAATTTCTTTATTACTTTTTATAATTTGTTTATATGTTGTCATGGTATAATCATTCTTCGTAATAGTAAAAAGAATTTTTTATTTTCTAATAAGTAAAACTATGATTGAACAAATTGGAAATAATTATAATTATAAGACACATCTTTCTATTGAATAATCTAATTTTTACAAATGGGGATAATGCATAAAAATTATTACGGAATAATATTAAAAATTTATGTTGCACAAGACATATGTCTATTAAATTTTATGTGTTAGTAGTAGTATCACACATTACCTGTAAGATGATCTCATCGTAATGCAACCTGTTTTTAGTTTACTTAATTCTTATCTTTTAGCAGTATTAGCACATCTCTCAACTTCTATATATAATAAATGTATAATCTGTATCCTTTGGAATCATAAATAATAAACATTATGAAAATGACTACCTTGTGAAAATATCAATACTACCGTTAATTTCGTCATACTATAAATGTAACTATGTTATAAGAATTCTATTAATCATATAACGATGTATTTTATGATTTAAGAATTGGAATATTTTTGTTCATGTTAAATTATATTTTGTTTTATTATCATTTTTTATACTGTTGCCATAAAAGTGTTTTATACGTAGAGCATAATATACATTATGATTATTTGTAGAATCTTCTCTTTAATGATGTTTTACTAGGCCAACAAGTTTTAATCTGAAATATTTAATATTTCATAAATTTTGTATAAATATTTATAATGTTTGTAATTTAATTTGTAATGTTTCACAAATGTTCGCTGTACATTATTCAGAATTTTTCAAACTCAAATAAGTATTCACTTTAACAATTATGTACCTCATGTGTTAATTTTTGCAGATTTTTTCTTCTATTTCTAGTACTTTCATTATCTGAATGTTCTAAAGTTTCTAAAGATTCGATAGATGTACTGTGCCTCCTATCAGAATCAAAATTGGAAACTATTTTCGATATTATATTATTATCAGCTTTTTTTGGAGACCCAATTATATACCAATGATATATGCCCTAAAAATATTGTTTGAAACATAATAAATGAAATTATGTATAAAAAATTACGACATAGCACATGAGATAAAAATTTAGATAAAAACTTACAGATACATTAAATTTCACTCACCCATAATATACCAATCATCCAAAATAGAGTTAAAGCAAATGTTTGCATATTTTATTTAATATAAATTTTGTTTAAATAATATTTCCTAAAATTATATTATTTAAAACACTAAAAATTTTGACATGTTTAAATTACCAATTATTCGGTACTCATTTGTTACATCTTAAGCATTTAAATACAATTTCACACATGACATAAAATTTGCTGTTGGCGTTTTAAACAAAATAATTACAAATAAGGAAATATATTTACGTATAAAGTTATATATACATTTTTTTCTTAACTACAATACATATAAATTTCATGTACCATCATTGTCCTCCATATCCATCTCTTCTTCATCGTTCTCTCTTGTGTCATCTGATACTGTAATTTTCTTAAAACCATTTTTTTTCGTGTACACCCCCAAAAGTTGCAGCTTAAAAACTGCTAGCGGTTTACTTAGTAATTTCTACAAAACATGTAAGGATTTAGTTTAATGTCTCAATGCAAAATGTTAAAAAATATATATATACATATGTATATAAATATGTACCAGAATTTGCGCTTGCTCCGGTGTAAGTACTTCATTCTTTTTACAAACTGTGAATGGTTTAATCAAAGTAATAATTCCCTTTTTCAATGACGTAGGCATACCCAACTGTCTCAACTGTGGTTCCATGCTATGTTGGAACTGTGGTAGAGGTCCTTCAGGTAATTCCACTGTTTCAGGTGCTACAAATCCAGAACGGGCATATTCCATTTCTTCATAGTTTTCTGCCCATTCCATTACCTAAACAAATAGACATATAAAATACATTTTCAATAATATATAACGTGAATCGTTCGTATTATAAAATTAATCTTAAAATTTCTATAAATATGATATTTTGTTTATCAAATATAAATACGATAAATATAAATATATATAATATATATAAATACAAATATAAATAAATATATATAAATATGACATGCTGTTTATTAAATATTTGTTTCAAATATACTTTTATGTTATTGTCTAAGTCTTTATATGATATACCTGTTTCTTTGATCTATTAGTAAATAACAGACCACACTGGCCTCTCATTGAGTGGTTCTTCATTGCATTAGCTAATTTATGTATACCTTCTGCAACTTCGGTTTCCTTTGATTTTCCCAGACCCAGTGCAATTATTCTGAGCTTTCCAAAGAAAAGTTTACTGTCTTTCCATTCAGCACGTAAATCAAGAAGCTTAGTGTTGCGTGAATTTTGAATAGAGATTAGAAATATGCTACTGTATTCTTCCACATATTTCTTAACATCTTCCATGATCCTCTGTTTTAAGGCTGAACCTTTTCTATCAGTTTTAGTGAGTGAAACTGTGAAATAAAAATATTTTAAACAGTGCCATATATTTATTTGACACATATATTTTTTTTCATTATGACAAAAGTACCAAAAATAATATTGTTTAAAATTATTAACTTGTTACAATAAAATTACGCAATAAAATATTAACTCATGAAATTAAATTTTAACTTTTTTGGAGGTTAGTTGCAACAAGCTAACTGCTTCTAAAAATATTTCTTACAAAAATACGTAAAAATATACGAAAAACATTTAGGAAATTACTTTTTTTATCCCTCTTCGATTTCGGCATCTTTGAAACTAAATTCTTTCACAGATTAAAAAATATAATAAAATTAGTATTTAAAATTTACTCCTGACATCCATGTGCTGCCATGTGCTCACATGTAATAATTTTGCGATTGGACGTGAGTTTAGACATTATAGACAGTTACAGAGAGGGCGCTACACGTAGCGAATTGGAATAAATTGGAATAGAAGAGAAAACTTTGTACATATCTAAAATTTTGTTAATTATTTAGATACGAATAGAATTGTCTCTAATCTAGATTTTTATAAACAGAATTATTTTTAATTTCCCTCAGAGTATTTGTGCTTTTTTACTAATTTTCAAACAGACATGATATTATCTATGTGATTACGCATATAATTTTAGACACCTTTAAATCCACTAAAACATTTTTAAATAAAAAGACCAGAATCTCCTCCAGAAAAATCAAACCAGAATTTCTGAAGAAAAGGTGATAGGTTTGAAAAAGATAAATACGTCCGATTAAATCTTTTAACTTTGTTATTTTATATATAAATATTTGTGTCCCGCTGATCTAAAATTAATGTTAGATAGTAAGATTTATAAATATAAGATTACGATTACTATAAGATTAAATTTACTTCAATTATGAGTACATTAATTTATACCATTTCATCTAATTTACGGATCATTCCATTCTAGCTGTAATCCTTAAAGATGTTAGAATGAAATAATTGTCGCTATAGCGAACAATTTTTCCTTTTCTATAAATGGATAATATGTATAATTACAATTATTATAACAACAAAATAATAAAATTGTCATAAACACATTCAACAATTATATATCTTCCTAGATATTAAATTTCTAACACAATTTTATGGTTATAAAATAAGAAAAATTCTTTATTAACGATAATCATTCAATATCGCATATTATAACGCATTATATTTTGAGTAGCACATTTTATTGGTGAGATATTGATTAAGCATTGTTATTGGAGATATATATTGAGTCAATATTACGCCAATAAATTGTGTTACAAGGTTACGTATTAATAGTTGTATAGTTTGATATATGTATACAGCGTTATATTTCATAAACATATGTATTATATTTATTTCATGATATATATTTGTGTAATATGTATTCAAAATTTCTATTGGATCCATTAAATTCGAAATCTTTTTTTAAAAAATGTTAAGCAATTCAATTTTCTTTATATTACATCTGCAACTTGGATTATTTTTATTAAATATACTTAAGTGTTAATATATTTTCTAAATTATTTAGAACAGAATCTCACGCTAAAAAATTAAAAGTCTTGAAGAGTGAGATTTCACTCTCTAGAGTGACGATTCACTCTAAAAAGTTTAGGTCTGGTTGCATTAACATTACTTTGATTCTTTAAACGAAGCCTGAAACCCTTTTCTTTTTTAAAGCCGAGAGAGAGAGAGAGAGAGAGAGAGAGTGTGTTTCTTTGCTTAAAGTTAAAATAACGTTGATGCAATCGAGCCTTAGAGAATACGCGTTTCTTTTTGCAGGCACACCCTTAATATTATCTCATACATAAATACTTAAATCCCGCTGATCTAAAATTAATGTTAGATAGTAAGTAGATTTATAAATATAAGATTACGAGTACTGTAAGATTAACTTCGATTTACTGTAAAATTGCTTCAATTACGAGTAGATCAATTTATATCACTTCATCTAATTTACGCGAAGGAGCAAACGAGCGATTCAAATCGGCGCGGCGCGTCGCGCCGGAAGTGGGCGCGCGAGCGCCGGGCAAGATGGCGGTTTCCGTTAGTCGCGCCAGTGCATTCAGCGAGAACGTAGTGAACGGTAGCTGTTGAACACGTCGAGAGCCCGATTTCCCAGGCCGCTTACAGCACTCCGAAGGTGAGTCCGCTTCATCTGGTAGCCGTTCACCTTCATGATTACACCCGACGTCGGGATCGCGAGCCGATCTTTGGCCACGTCCACGACGGATCGCGCGACGTGCGCCGCAACGCGGCCCGTGTGGACCCCGTAGCCATGCCGCCCGACGTCGTCGGGGCTGGTCGGGGCGGCCCGCTGCTCTGGGATCTCGCCGGCGACGATGATCGCCGTGTGTCTCGCACCTCTGTAAAGATATCGACGAGATCGAGTCGGATCTCGCGGGATTATATCCAACGGGATGATCATTTCGTGCGAGATACGAGCGGCGGATTTGTCTCTCTCTCTCCCTCCCTCCCTCTCTTTTTCTCTCTTTCGGCTACGTCGCCGCGATCGACGGCCTGAAGGCGGCCGCACCGATGACGCACGAGACGCCGTGCGAGGAAAAGAGAAAGAGAGTGCGAGGAGTGCCAGTCGTCTCGTTCCTCGCAGCCGCCATGTTGCTTTCGCGGCCGGCGACGAAATTCCTCGCACGTTGCCGGGCCATCTCGAGGAAATGATGCGTCGTGGGGATGTATCTGCGCTGTTACGGCTGGTTATCAGATAAGGGGTGATAAGGAACGATTAGAAGGTGATGATTAACGAGGGGAAGGGAGGGAGACGGTGGAGCTCGCTCGCCCAATCATCGATCGCTTTTTTTTCCTCGGTCTCTCCATCTCTTTCTCCTCGTCTGCCTCTCGCTCTCTCTCTCTTTCCTTTTCTTTCTTTCCCGAGATTCGTTTAACCCTTATTTACAGAACCGTCGTTCGTAAGGAGTTATTATTTGCGATGTCGTAATCGTCTTTCGGCGTCATTTAAAAATGTCTCCGGCAGTTTCACGCGCAGGTGGGCGGCGCGTTAATTGCATGCCGAGAGAGGAGAGGAGGGTTTCATATCTTTATCGACGAGTCGCGAGATTAATAACGTGAATAATTGTAGCCGAGGGCACCTCGCGCAATGACGGAGATCGATTGTGTATTTTAAACGAGATGAAAATTGTAAAAGTGAGCAAATTCTCTCGGTGTTGATCAATGAAGTTGTAAATATTTCAGTAAACTCGCCCACTTTTGTAATTTTCACTTTGTTTCAAAGGGGTCGATTGTGTATCTTGGAACGAGAGGAAAATTACGAAAGTGAGCAAATTTACTAGATGTTAATTAATGAAATTATAAATATTTCAATAAATTCGCTCACTTTTGTAATTTTCATGCATCTCGTTTTAAAGAAGTCGATTGTGTATCTTTGAAACGAAATGAAAATTACAAAATTGAGCAAATTTACTAAACGAGATCAATGAATATATTATAACTGTTTCAGTAAATTCGTTCACTTTTGTAGATTTCACCTCGATTCGAGATATACATTTTGATCCCGACATCACTGATCACTGGGAGGTCAATTATGTATCTTGAAACGAGTTGAATATTACAAAAGTGAGTAAATTCATTTTACATCTCTATAAAGGAATAACTATTTTGCTAAAATATCTAAAAATTTGCTAAATACGAATCGGAAAATAATTTTGTCGATCTATAGAAATACTTCTGTAAAACAATAAAACTTAAAATTATAACTCTCGAAAATGTCAAATAACATAAACATTAATGGGCTAATGAGAGTCACAGCTGCGGTAATTCGTGCGAGAAAGAAACAATTTTTATTATGTATAATACTTATTAATTTTAGACGTTTCGGCTCCAGTCCGTTGACTTGTTCGCAGTCATAATGTTTCTTTGCGACCAAATTTATTTCTTATATTAAACAATTTCATATTATTAGTAAATTTACATGGCTGTACAGAATTTCTTTCTATTCACTGCCACGAGATTTTTCATTCTTGAGACAAAATTTATGGATTGATGGAGTTGCCACTTTCTTGTCCAGCCATGAAGACGAAATGATTATTATATCGATGCGAATTACTGAGGATGGCCCGAATTGGAGCCGAAACGTCTAAAATTAATAAGTATTATACATAATAAAAATTGTTTCTTTCTCGCACGAATTACCGCAGCTGTGACTCTCATTAGCCCATTAACTTCTGTAAAACGCTTAAATGATGACAATGCTGTAAAAAGTTGCGACATCTTAACAATCAGTTTAAGTCCCAATAATTATTTTGATACTCCAAACGCAATTTTCAGATTTATACTTGTCTAAATTTATAGGTACTTCACACACAGCAAAACTTGAACTTTTCGTATGGATACAATGAAAAGCACATACAATAGGAGCAAGGAATAAAGCCTTATACACAATTGAAAAGCAGTAATAGAAACAGGGTAGAGATCCTATAACAAGGTCTAGCCACGAGCAATTTTATCAAAACAAGAGTGAAAAAAAGGGTATTGTACATACTGTCTCTTTTTATATATGTTATCTTATTCTAACTTAGTTATCTCACTCATTCTAACTTACTGAAGTTAACAAAAACGACGGACCAATCAAAAGTTTGTCATCTCATGGCCAGATTCTATTATAGGGTCTCTAGAGAAACAGGGAATATCAAATTTCAACCTTTCAGAAATGGTTTATATCAGAATATATAGTTTTTAGATACATTTATGTGTGTTAAGCGGCGTCTACAATGAGATTGTAAGATGTAAAACTTAAGCTTTAAGGCCTAAGCCGTAAGAAATTGTCGATTCAGCCAATCATGGTCGACTATTCACTTTACATTTGATTATGATTGATTGATTTCTTATGTGGCTTTCATTGTGGAGCCGCTTTTACCTGTGCTTTTTCTAGGGCTTAATTTTCACTTTGTTTCAAGATACACAATCAACTCCCTGGCCACAATTTAGATGATGACGGAGATAAGAGGAGATTTCACTGTAGTAGCGTGTCGTTTTTGAACAATTATCCACCTGCACTTTATGTACGCTTCCCGCGCACAACTGATAAATGTGCGAAGCTGAGGTGATCCACGGAACAGGTGATCTACATGTGTCGCGAACGTGTACATCTGTTCTCACGTTACTTGCTAGAGGAAAACGCGTCGTTATTCTACGTTAATTGTTAAAACACTTGAATCTGTTTTGAAATTCACAAGAGCTTGAGAGAGAGATAAGATAAAGATGTCTCAATTCCTATTACTGAATTCCGATTATACGAAGGAAAATGATCTCGTTTCTCGAAGACGATACGTCGCTACTCGTTAATTTAAATCCATTCTATAATAGCGAATATTCAGTA